AGAGTAGGGGCTGGTATGTCTTTGACCTTTTTGATCTGTATTTACCTTTGAATTATTTATAGGTATTATGTGTCATCCAATAAATATTTATGAATCTGTTTATAAATATTCTATTTTTATGTATATAGTTCTAAATTTTTTCCCAAATCACAGTAAAGAGTCTTTTTATTTATTGTCTAACATATTAATTTTAATCAAATAAATTGTGGGAGTAATTCTATAGTTGTAGAATCTGGAAGCAAACTAATTATTAGTAACAATTACAACTATTGTTCTTTGCAGGATGAAGTACGGTATTATGAATCCATTTCTTTTTCTGTACAAGTTTATTTTTACTCATTCTCCATATTATTTTCCTGGTTAAAGGGTCTCAATTGTAAACCATTGGTTTATCCTGTTTTATCTTTACCTGATACTATATGAAATTTGACTAAGGGGTAAGCAATGCCTCAATGGCCAAATGTTATCGAAATAATTCTGGCCAAATGTTTTATAGATATGTGTAATCAATTTTATTTTTCAAAAAAAAGGAGCCTGCCATCCAATGTTGTGGATTAGCCATTTGCATTGAGAAAACTCCTTTTATATTTCTCCCAATATCTATATAGAAACTCCTTTATTCACAGGAGCTTCAACATTTCTTCTAGGGACAGCTCACTTATCCATAATGGTACATGATACTATGCTTATAAAACAGCCCAGTGCCTGACAGTGTTGTCCTGGCTTGCATTGATCCATTCCAAACTCCGTTTGAGTATCATAACTAACATTCTTAACAATTTTCCACTGTAACTCATAGAACTATCTTAGATTTATCCCAGAAGTCCAAATCCCAGAGAAGAAGTGATGGCTATGTGATGAGCTGGCTGCATATTTTCTCTATCTCTCCATATGGCACAGGCCACATTAGTCTAAGGGGTTTATATGGCCCAGTTTCCAGCAGCTTTATTTTTATTTGCTTTTTGCCACAATAGTACATGACAATGGTTTAAATATGATACCAATGATACTGAAAATACTCCAGTGGAAACTTTCTCATCCTATAACCATGACACTTGTGAAAGGTGGCCACTTTCATCCTCTTTCATAATTTCTTCTGACATTTATTTCAGTATTTCTAAATGCTATGCTCTACTATTTATTGATTAACCAAATGTGTATTGGCTTCCAGCTCTCATCCCTCCAGCACATCCTGCTTGCTCCCCTCTTCCTTGCTCTCACCTTCCCACAAGAGTTATAGCACAATCTTTGCTGTTCCTTTGTTCTCATCTTCCCAAGTAGCTTTGTCACACTTTGGTGTGAAGTTGTAGTGTGTACACTATTGTGACTATTGCTAACCTCTGATTAAAATATTGTACTATGATTACATTTCTTTCCTTACACAGCTTTTATATTTCCTGAATTAGAAATTGCTCTTTCAATTCTCTTGATTTTTATGCACCTCTAATTGTTTTATCAGATGTTTTCATGTATCTGTCAAATGCCATACCTATTATAGTATCCGAGCCTCAAAAGCATCAATAAACTTCTAAGTTCCATTTTTTCCCAAGGGTATGGCCTTGCTTCATCTGGTAGTACCTGTCTAGGGCTATTGCAGCACTGTTGCAGGGATGTACCATTTACCTCTCCTCTGTGTCAGTTCCTCTGTGCACTGGATCCAACAATTTCCTCCTCCTGGATTTATCCCCTCATCTTTCTAAGGCACACTTTTTGGTAGTGTTCTGAGAAAGGGTATGTAGAAAGCAAATATTTTGAATCCCTAAATATGTGAGTATTCTGCCTACAAAATTGTTGGTAATTTTCCCGGGTACAAAATTCTAGGTTAGAAATTCTTTTCTCTCAGCATTTTGACATTCCACAATTTTTGAGGGTACCTGATCTTCTAGTTTTCTGGTTGCTATCCACTCTCCTTCTTTTCTGCCAAATTCCTTGCCATTCCTCCTCCAGTTGCTTTCTATCTTCTGAAAACATGTTGAACTCTCTTCTATGCTTGCCAGTCTTCCCAGTGACCTTGTTATTTGGGGTTAATACCACTTTCTATTCCTGGACTGACATTGTAGTGGGCTTTGGTGTGAATAAATGGGACTCTCGTGTGGCCAGTCCGCCATGTCTACTCAAAGTCCAGTGACATCTTTATGTTTCAGAGCATATAAATCCGTGCAATCCCCTTTGCATATATTTCAACACTATTACTGTTAGCAACCGTAGGAGGTCTTAGAAGTATTGCCATTTGATGAGGAAACAGCTGAGGTCCCAAGAATGTTAGTAGCTTTCTTAGGTTTAAAAGGCCAGCATGAGACAGATTCTAATTTAAAACCATGTTTTTCCCGCTCTTACTGAGGCATAAGGGTCACGTTCAGTGAGACCAGTGGGACCTTTGAGATGGAAGCCAGTAGTAGCAAGTTAGACCGTAGCTTTCCCATATCTTGTTATAGTAAACTAACACCACTAAGTTATATGAATTATCCCTTTGAACTATTCTCTGAACCATAGAATATGGACTTTCCTCTTCAGTCACTCCTGCTATTCCATAAGAAAAATTGGAACACCTAAAACCAAATTATTGCTGGTGATCTGACTCATTCAAATAGTGGAGTGTATTAGAACCAACAAGGAAAACTGAAATTATGGTGTTTGGGTCTCAAAGAAAATATACCTTCATATATAGAGGTGCTATTTCAGAGTCTAGTATACAATGAAATAACTCCTCTTTGAGGCTTTTACTTAAATTCTCTCATAGGGCACAAATAACATTCTCTAATTTGAAAACAAAAAATAAGTGATTGCTTTCAAAGTCCAGTGTTTAGAAGACATTACAGTAATCACTCTCAAAAAAGACAAAGAGCCTTTCCAACTAGTATTTATGAACAACCTCACATACCAGTGATTTATGTTTGTATATGTCACTTTGACTCTCTGTGACTGTAAGAGCAGACACACTTTGTGTTAAATGATATCTTCTCAAAGGGAATTTTCAGGTAATACCTTCTGAAAGGTTCGTGGATCTTTGTCCAGATGAGAGTTTGCTCATTTCTTTTCCCAGCTAAATATCATGTTCCTGTACTCCCTTTTTTGTTGTCTAATTATCTCCATTCATATCTTTGTGTACCCTCAATAAAGGGAGGACGTTTTCGGGTCAAGCAGTAGAAAAGTGAAATTAGACACAACCTCCTCTGACCTAGACCCTCAAACTTCTCATCTGTGGAATAAAATCATACCTACAGATGATCTTCAGGTCCTTCCTCAGCTCTTGAATGCTGCTTCTACACCATCAATGAATCAATGCCACTTAATTATCTCAGTCCAGTCACCCCTGTTTCCATACATGTGTAACTATGAGGGAATTTGTTGGTTAATGTAATTAACACATTTATTGGACATCATACTCAGAGCTGGGTACACAGTAGCAGATGAACAAATATGGCCCTTGGTCTCTTTGGGTTCACAGTCCAAGAGAAAAGGCATACAAAAGCATACTCTTGAATGAATCATTGTGATAAATACTGTGAACAACAACAAAGTGCTATAAGAAAGAATAATAATAATTTTTAAAAGATAATTTGGACAGGAAAGGGATAATGTGGCCAAGAAAGCTTCATGGGAGGAATGACAAGAGACCCAAAGGATGAGGATTGGCTAGCCAGGTGAGGAGTGATAGAGAAAGAATCTGGGCATTTAGGGTAGCATATGTGAAAGACCCTGAGGAATTAAAGAGCTCAAGCCTTCAGGGAATGCACAGAAGTCCATGTAGCTAGAGCTGAGTGAACAAGGGGGTTGGCCTGAGAGAGAGACAGATATAGGCTCCCACCAAACCATACAAAGCCTCCCCACAATCTGAGCATTTTGTATAACATCAGAAAGGCAGGAAAAACCTGCTGAAAGCTGTTTACAGAGAGGGAGGTGATTCAAGTCATGTTGGAATGATCGTCCTGGTTCATTGAAGGAAAACAAAAACAGACAAATGGGTTCCATTAGGAATTCGTCCTGACAAGGGCTGGTGGTGGTTTGGGTGAGGAAGCAATGGTGGAGAAGAGTGGTTTTCACACATGATCTTGGGGTGTCACCAGTTTGCTTCCGCAGTCAGCTGTGTATAGCTGAAAGCTATAAACTCCCATTTGGGTGGCCCATTTTGTGACACTTGTGAAGAGCTTCCTCTGTCTTGCATTTCTTGTCCTGGAACAAGTGGATACAGAAAATCTCCCACTCTGACATCCTAGCCTTACCTTCCTCTTAAGCTGCTCTGGAGAGCATGAATGCACCCCTCCCAAGTGCCTGATGTCCCCCAGGCCCATCCTCTTATCCCCTAGCACTGCTGCCTTGAGCCTCACTGCAGAAGCACAGTTATCAAGGCACCTCTTTCCTCCTCCACCTCCATTCTTCCCACCCCATCATCGCACCCTGTCCTGGAGGGCTGTGTGACTCCCTGCAGCAATGCTCTCACAGCTACCTTCCTCCTCTTCCTCTTTAACCAGGCAGGAGCTGATGTCAGATCCAGCCCTCTGTCTCCACTTCAGGTACCATCAGCCCCTCTCTCACACAGACCATGCTGTTCCCCCTTTATTGGCCATTTTCCCAAGAGTCTGTCCAACAGCTCAGACTCTGTGATAGGAACTTGGGTAAAAATGGGCAAAATTTCAGCACTTGCATTTCTTGCAAGACAAATAGAAGAGCAGAAACAGGTGGCCTATATGAAGAGCAGAGAAAGTGGCATTTGCTAGCTTGAATTGAGTGAACAGTGACATGGAGGAGGCTGAGATTTTTCTGGAGTAATGAAGAGGAAAGGAGCAGAAAGAAACCAGAGCTGGGACCATAAGTAGAAGATGTGGGAGAAGGTCAAGGAATCTGCCATAAGATCTTGTCCATTTCGAAAGCATCATGCTAAAGTCACAGAAAAGAAGAATTACCTGGGTTTGGGAGGTATCCACTTTTTCAGGGACTTCACACTAGTCACCAGGTAAAGGCAGGTTATATCCTAACCAAAGCTCGCGCATGTCTGACAGGAGCAAACGCTAAGCATGGGCTGCGCTGCAAGGCCTGTAAGACGAGCCTCCACCACAAGTGCATGGATGGCCTAGCACCCCAGCGGTGCATGGGCAAGCTGGTAAGGGCTGGTGCCAGGAGTGAGCCCATAACCCCCTGCACATCAATACTCCACCCCCGTGGCACCCTGATAGCTGGACACTAGGAAGGCAGCCCCCAAGTCCTGGCCTACCAACCAGGCTTCTTCATTGGCATAATGATCAAGCAGAAGAAAAGCTTCATCAACCCATGAGGCAAATGCTCCGCATGCAATAAGGACTCTGTGCCCTTAACAGGGTAACACACTTGTCCCGGGTTGGAACTTTTTCAATTTTAGCCCTGGAAGTTTTATATCCTGTTACTGTTGGTGTTTTAAAGATGAAAGTCGGGCATTTCTGGAACCCTCTCAGCCCAGAAAAACTAGGGGGCTGGTCACATCAGTGCTAAATTGGCTGATAGGTCAGTAGATGTCAAGAAGGGGAGAGCTATTAACCACCATCCCCAAAAGTGAAGAGAGTAATAAAAATCGACACACCACTTTAACAGATTGTGGTGGCCAAGCCAAGGAAGGTCAAATGACCCTGGCCCATTCTAGGCTGGTCATGGCATCTTGGGAGTGTGGGCTTCAGTCCTGGTGTCACATGTTGATAAAAAGCAACCCAGAGCACTTTTAAAGGTACTGATTCTAGGATGGCCAAAGACGTGTCAAAGGACCAAGAATGTCTACCCTCAAGGTACTTAGGTTATGACAGCTGCCTTCAAAAAAATTTAAAACCAGTCACACAGAAGAGAAATTCTCTCTCCTGTGGCTCCAGGAAGAAGATCTAGAATCAGTAGATTACTAAGTCTTAACAAAGAGATAATGTCACCAATGACCTGCCTCCATGGTTAGTAAGAGCTCCTTCCCTCCACGCCCCCAACAATGGCAGTTTTCAAATAAAGGAAGATACCACTTGCCAGGAACAATCCTTGGTGAGGATTCTGGAATTCCACTAGGGGCTGGGCTACAAAGTTCTCTTCCAACACTGGCATATAGTAAGTCAAGATTCTTAGAGAGTCCATCTCCTTACCCTGACTGGCAATGTCCTCTTCTCTAAAACCTCTGCCTCACATGTTCCCCTCCTCCTCCAATGGTGATTCCCATAAGCCAAGGCAAAGACCAAGAATGAGGGGTGAAAAAACATAACAGAGTCTAGAACACAAGGCAAATGACTCTGGGTGGAGCTTGTAATATATACAAGCTCCCTTCGGCCTCCCTCTGAGGTCTGCTTCCCCTTACCCAGGCCTTTTATGATTTTAATAAATCTCAGTAGTAAACCTTGGTGAAATAATGCATGCCAGTCCAGTTGTATCCTGGGAGATAATGAGGAGGCTGGACACAAGGGAGGCTGCTATGGTCTGCAAAAGGAGGAGAGGCAGGAAGGGGAAGGGCAGGGCTGGGGCTTGCTTTCTAGGTGGAGTGTAGCTTTCTTATAGCCACCTGTGCCACCTGCCCCCCAGGGATAAATTCTAGGGATGTCGGCATCTTAAAGGTGACAGAGGAGTGCCCCCTGGAGAAACCAGCTGTATTATTTTCAGAGCTCTTGCATGGTTTTCTGCATCTCATCAGTGACATTAAGCCTTTCTCTTTCTCTCTCTCTCCAGCCAAAAGGGTTTCGGCGTTACTACAGCTCCCCCTTGCTCATTCATGAGCAGTTTGGATGCATTAAAGAAGTTATGCCCATTGGTGAGTTGGGACGCTGATGGATTGAGCTGGGTTTTGAGCAGCAATGTCAGCATTAACAGCTGTTGCTGTCTCAGGACCACAAATCCAGCGGGGTGTGTCTGCATGTCTGTCTGGTGGTGTATTGGGTTATGATTATTTGCTTTGCTGGAGAGGAAACAGAAGGAAAAGCAAATTCTGCTCTCCCTGATGAAACTTGAAAAACACCCAAGTCCCAACGGCTGCTGATATGCTATTCCACCCATCAGCAGCATGACAGAATGGAAAGAACGTGGAGCATAGCATCCCACAGACCCGGCTCCGAGCCCAACTTCCCACTGACCAACTTACTGTGTGTCTGGACAAGGTCCTCAACCTATCAGATCCTATAAAAGAAGAACAGCAAAGGCTGCTTTTCATAATTATTGTACAAAAATGTAAATTATAGACCAACACTTGGAAGGAACTCTGTGAATATCAGTGTTTCTTTAATGAGGACAAAAAAATATCTGATATTTATAGATATTTTTGGCTTGAATTTATTCTTTAACAATATCTTTCAGTTCACTTCTATTTTTTTTCTCTCTCCCTCTGAGAATCTCTATATCTCTTTTTTATCTTTGGATGGGGGGCAAGTTTTAAACTAGAAATTTAGAAACTAGAAAGCTTCTAAACAAATTCGTGAGTCCTGGTAATGTCAAATTCTTTCAACTTGCCTCCTACTGTAAACTTTGTGTCTCACTCAAGGGTTCATACCTTGGTGAGCAGCACCTCACATCAAAGGAAATAACCTTGAAATCAGAGTCCTGGGGATGAATGACAAAAGAGGAAAGCCAATAAATCAGGAAGTGTCTGGGAGCAGAGAGCCCTGGCTGCAAGTGGTGGGTGCATGGGAAGGATCTAGCCAATGGCACATACTGTGGGAGTCCATCTGCCAGGAAAGCTTGACTACACAAAGCTCCATTTGCCCAGGGATTAGTGAGTCTGTGGCACAGAACTTTCTTCTTGAGTGCCGTTGACCCAGGAGGTGCGATAAACTGTTGACTGCACTCCTGATGGTGAGTGGAGGAAACCTGTCACTCAAATGGCCTTTCTCTTCTGTTGCAGCCTGTGGCAATAAGGTGGACCCTGTCTACGAGACCCTCCGCTTCGGCACCTCCCTGGCCCAGAGAACAAAGAAGGGCAGCTCTGGCAGTGGCTCTGATTCGCCTCACAGAACCTCTGTAATTATCCCCTTCTTCCCTGAGTCCCCTGCATTGCTCTGAGGAGGGCAGACCTCAGGTGCTGCAGGGCAAGGAGCTTCCCATAAATACATCATGAGGGCATGTCTGTTGGGAGTCAGGCAGTCTCTGAAGTGAAATCCCAGCTCCCCTGGACTACTAAAGATTAAATTCCTGTTTGTTGCCAACACCCAGGGATCATTTTATTTTGGTCCTCAAAGTCCATGCTCTTGGCCTCATGCTCCTTGAAACTCCGTGTACCCTCCCCCTTCTCCCAATATTAGATAGCATGGCAGTTAACACAAAGCAATGGCAAAGGCAGGGAAGTCCCAGCTGTGGCCAGTTCCAGCTACATAAAAGTTTAAGAATACAACTCTTTCTCACATTTCCTAAGTCTTTTCTCTCTAAGACAAGGCACTCCCCTAGTTTCATGCAAAAACTGACCTTCCCAGAGGCACTGGACCTGTAACTTAATTGGGCCTGTCTCCACAAGACAATCCCCCTCCCAGACCCCTCTCCTACATTTTATTTGGTCTAAAATGGCTGTCCGGTGCATCTTTGTGACATGCTATCATCATCCTGTCTCTGGCTGTCCCAACCAGAATTTCTATAAATGCCCCAAGATGCCACACAGCTCTGCCACTCATGCTGAAGGCCACTATCCTGCCTTGCAGAGACAAGAACCTTCTGGTTCCTGTTGTCAGTTAGTATAGCTTACACCCAGCTACTGGTTCCACTGTTACAGGGACTTCAGGGCAAGGCACAGATGAGCCACCAGGTGGTCTTCCCAGCTGGGTCCTGTCAACATCAAGTGATTAGGGTGGATCATGGGAGGAGAGGAGGGCTATACTCCTCAGAGGGGTTCTTGGGCTGAGAGGAAGCAGCTCCCTCAACAGGTGCAGGTCAATCCACAGGATAACCGAGATTATGGTCTATGGTTAAATATGTAGGTCAAGTGGGTAGTTGAGTAGGTAGGTTTGAAGGCCCTCTGGTTGATGCCATGTGGTTATCCTAGATGCCACCTTTAAAATTCACTGCAAGTCCCATTCTTCATGCATCCCACTAATTTCTAAGAAAGGAGAACCAAAAAGTGTTTTACTCTTTTTCCTTGCTGAACCTAAAATTGATGTCAGTTAGTTTTCTGTTTTACTCAGCGAATATGAATTGAGTGCCTATAGTTACTAGCACTGTACAGGACACATGACTTCTTACTCTCAGGATTCACAACTTATTTCCAAAGACAAAAGCAGTGGAGAACAAAAGTAGATGATGATGACATTAGTTAGCACTTTCTAAGACATAAACTTTGCTATGTCTTGTACTGTTTTTATTAAGAATAGGAACATGACATACGTGTTAAGAGTATCATAATAATGATGAGCACTGCAGGGTTTCAGAGTAAAGAAGGAAATTGTTTCAGTAGACATTGCCCTCAAAGCAGTGCAGGCATAAGTCGTGACATTTTAAGGTACCTGGTCCTGATGATCTCCATAGGGGAGGCTATAAATCAGATTGGCAGTCCCAATGATAATGTTGGTTTTGGCTACATGGATTGAATAAATATAAAAGTATAAGCAAAGTTTCTAACACAGAGCCTAGCACTCAATTAATGGAGGTTGATGCTGCTTTATTTTCATTAAGCATTTAGCCCTTAGATGGATTTTCTTTGAATTTGAGTTATTATGAAGTGAAACAAGGGTGTAATCCACTAGAAAGGTAAATATGTTCTCTGAGAAGAGCACTTCCCAGGCTGTTCATTAATGGGGCCCATTCTTGGGCTCTGTAAGAGGCTGGACCCATTCCAGGGTTCCACTCTGCTCTCCTGCTCAGCCTGTCTCCTCTGATGTGTCCTCCAGTCACTCCCAAGTTGAGGATGTTCTCAGGGCTTTGCTTTGGCTTGGCCTTCCTGTGCTACAGGCTCTTCCTGGTTATCTCATTCACATCCCTCTGGTCCAATCACCATGGCTAAGCTGATGAATCCTGAGACACTTCTAGTCCTACAGATATCTCTGAATCAGCATGTCCAAGCTCAAATGATGCTCCACTGGTGACTGGGTCCTATAACTCAGAACACAGATGTGTGTCAGAAGCACCCTATCCTCTTTGCTGGAGGTTTGACTCTCATCATCTCTCACCCAGATTATTTCAAAGGAATAGCTATGTTCTCCTCTCCCTTTTGAATCTACTCTTTCAATACCTCCAGATTTATCAGCTTTTAAAGAAAGACCTTATGCAATTTTCCAAATTGAAACATTGTACTGTCTTGCTTATACCTGAACAACAGTGCCCAAACTCTAGCATGGCACATGAGGCCTGTCGCTCTCCTGAAGACTCACCTTCTCTTGAACATGCCAAGCTCTTTGACATCTTCATACCTTAGGACATGCTGTTCCCCAAGTTGAAGTTCTTTAAGGCCAGCTTGGTTTTTATACAAACTGTAAAGAGTTCTCAGACTCTCCCAAGCATGATGAATTGCTCCTCCTACAGGCCCTCAAAGAATTCCTTTCTTATAGGATAGAGATAATTGCAATGTAATTTTCTGCTTTTGCCTCTTTTCCTGAACTAGGTACTGAGCAACTATGTATGGGGGCCCATGTATAGTTATACCAGTCCCTGGCATCTAGTGGGTACTCAAGAACTGCTTAAAGAGTGAGGAAGAAGTAACAGGGACTGACCTCAGAACCCTCAAAATTGATATGACCTTTCGTTGCTTATGCCCCGAGCTCCATGCATGCTTTGCAGCTCTCTGGATAGCCACACTCTTCCCAAGTTGCTGGGCCTTGCCCACATCTTGTTTCTACTTCCCTGAAGACAACATCTCTCTCCTGGGTCTGGGTTGGGTACCCCTTTCCTGGGCACCTAACAACTAATTCATCATTCATAGTATTTGCAGATTGCTTGGTACTTTTTACTTTTGTGTTTCATTTTTCTTTAGTTTCCTCCTCAGCTAGGCTAAGCTGCTCAAACACAAGGACTCTTGACTCACTTCATATTTCTGTTGTTTTAAGCCAGAGATTTTTAAACTTTTGTGGGTATCTGGATCCATGGAAGAGCTTTGTAAAAGTGTAAAAATCAAGGCCCTGTCCTACTACAGTTAACCTGGGTCTCTGTGTGCTTCATTAGCCTTCCAGGTGGTTCTGATTCCCACCAAAGATGGAGAACTGCTGATGTGTATATCATGTCCTTAATCACACATACCACATCACATCTTTCTTAGGAGAGTGAAGAGAGTCATTTTTCCCAATAAGTTGTTTCCCCAAAAGCCATGTAGAGTTGGCTGTCAGCCTATAGCCATCACCCCTTACAAATCAAGACTTTTTGCCCAAAAGAAAAACACAGAGCAGAGAGACTCCTGTCCACTTGACTTGCATCCAAATAGTCCTTTCTCAGGTCTCTGGTGAGAGCCAGTATATTCTCAATCCACTTCTAGTGCCTGCATCTCCCATGCTCAACTGGGGCTGGCATTAGTGGAAAGATAAATGGAAAGCCAACCTAGAGAGGCAAGAACAGAGAGTGGGCTCCACAGAGATGATCCCGAGGTATCCACACTGGCAGTGGATGGCTGCCCCTGCGGTCCTGAGCTGTGCCAAACTCAGATGGGGAGACATCCTCAGAAACACTCCGCAGCAATGAACATGTTAGCCTCCACAGTCTGTTCCCAGGGCAGAAGTAGCAAGAATGTCAGGGTGACGATTTAAGAATGTCCAGTTTGCTTTTCCGTCTGAAGTGGTTTAGTTTCTAGCAATGTCTGTCCCCTACAGACTGGTTCTCAAGGCAAAAGACACGGTTTTCTGAATGTCAATAAGGTATCCATTCATCACAGTCCATTTAAACTTCCTGACACTGGTTCTATCAGTAAATATTCTCGGAATTGTGCTCAGTGAAGGCATTGTTCTCAGAGCTGCAGGGAGACAAAGACAAATCAAATTGTACTTAAATATCTGTCACTTCACTCTTTCCCCAGAGTCCAACTTGCTTCAATGAAGAAAACAGAAACAATTGATTGGTACTTTAAAATGATTTTTGCTTCCTTCCTGCAGGGTCAAATGATAATGAACTTCAGCCGCTTGCCATCCTTGCAGTTTTGTTATGTCCTAAAGCTAAAATATTCCCATAGCAAAGTCTGTCCCACATGTTTATTTTCTTCCATTGACTTTACATTGTCTGAAAGTCACTGCCTGGCTGTTTCTAAATCGTTAGGTTTCTTTTAATGTGTTTTCAAATGTTCTAGAATATAAAAGGCTTGATGGCTTTGGGAAGGCCAGCGAAAACCAAATTCAAAAACTTTCTGGGAGTTGGTTGGCTAGTTTGTGAAAAATCTTCAGTTTCATAAGATTAAATTAACATAATAATAGCAACTTTTGTTCAGAAATAGTGAGCTTCAAAGGAGCAGGGTATAAGTGACTTAGAGACCCTGTGACATTTATTTTTTTTCCTTTCTTTCTGATGTGTCATGAAAGTAAGAATGGCTGGGAAAAATCTTAAACCTAAATTGTAACAATAAGTCTCTAGAGGGTGGTGCTAAAGTGCTGTACAGCTGACTGGGAAGGCAAACTTGTTTCTTTCAAATAAGATATAAACAAACTGTTTTCAAAGTATGACTCTCCTCTGAGGCCCCCAAAATTCCTCTTCCAAAGAGGCGGGAGCCAGGCAAATGAAAGCCAGGTCTGTGACCCTTAGAAAGAGGCAATCAGTGGTGTGCCAATAAGTGTTTAACCACCACCTGGGGGCCGGACCCTGATCTGTGGCATTTGCCGATTTCCTGGTGTAAATACTCTCACTCAGGCCTATTTCACACTCCCAATTTGATGGCCCTGACGGCTCTCACCAGCCCATGTGAGTCACTTCAGCACGCCACCAGATAAAGCTCAGTTGCATGAGCTCTGGAAATGACCCTGGGGGTTCGTACCCCAGGTCCAGCACTTAGTAGCTGTGGGACCTTAAGAAGGGTTACTGTTTTCTCCCTGGGCTCCACATTCCTATCTGAAAAATAAGTCTATTGTAGGATTACCATGAAGAATAAATGGATACATATATGTTACACAAAACAGCATGTGATAAATGAGCAGTAACCATTAGCCATTTAGAGTGATGTTGTTGTTATTTCTATAACCGAGGTAGAAGAATGACTATGGCCTCTCATATTAAAGAAAAAGAAAAGGCAGAGTAAATATTACATAAATAATTTTGCAGCGAGGGAAATAGCATTGACCTCGTACCTAGGTGATGCATCCCTCAATGCTACATCATGTTCTCTATAATTAATACAAACCTTCCTCAACTCACGATGGGGTTTCATACTGATAAAGTCATCATAAGTTGAAAATATCCTAAGTCAAAAATGCATTCACTACAACTAACCTCCCGAACATCATAACTTAGCCTGGCCTGACTTAAATGGGCTCAGAACACTTACATTCACCTACAGTTGGGCACAATCATCTAGCAAAAAGCCTATTTGATAATAAAGTGTTAACTATCTCAATAGACTGAAACTGTACTGAAGTGACAAACCGAATGGCAGTGTGGACACAGAAGCATTGTCAGTGTGCGGGTTGTTCACCCTTACGATCGCATGGCTGACCCTGGGCTGTGGACGCTGTTCAGCATCACCAGAGACAATTGTCCCACATAATTTCAGCCCAGGAAAAGATACAAATTCAAAACTCAATGTACAGTTTCCACTGAATGAGCATAGTAAAGACAAAAAATCACAAGTCAAATCATCTTGGGGGCTATGTATATTTAAAAATCACCTATAAAAGAGCTTTAGTTTTAGTGAGAATTTGACCTGACAGGATATGGACAGGAATTCTGATTTCTCTCTTTTGTCTCTTCCTGGGAAGAAGCCCGAACTATGAGCTATGCATCTAGATGTTCATTCAGCACTCACTGAATGCCTATTTCCTGAGCCTGCAGACACCCCTGAAGGGAGCTGCAGTGCCCACACAGCCTCTCTAAAGTTAGCCAAACAGACCAGAGAGCAATGATTGGATTCATCAGACAGTGTCGGGCCTTAATTCCTGAATTAATTCCTGACACCTTAATTCCTCTACTGACATCAAATTTCTCTGCTCAGTTGGTCCACTGAAGTAATTTTGTTCATTACACGCTACTCCCTCTTTTCTCTAAGACTTCAGATCTCGTGGAGGTTCCTGAAGAAGCTGATGGGCCAGGAGGCGGGTATGATCCACGGAAACGCAGCAACAGTGGTGAGTATGCGAGCAGGAGGGCAGGCATCACCTCAGCACAGATGTGAATGGCACTGCTTATCCAGGTGTACAGTCAGGGAAAGTTGATTTCCAGTTCCCTTATTTCTCTGCTAGCTCTGGAATTCAGTCTGAGCAAGTGTTCAATATTCTGGAGGGAAACTAGGCATAATTACTGGTGGATCTCCATGATTTGACTATATTTCCTGACTTCTGGATCCTGAGTTCTCATCCCTTATAGACTTAGATACATTGAGGCCTGGGAGTCACTTCTGGAATATTTTGTTAATATATCATTTCCCTCACTGACCTACATTAGATTAGCAAAACATTCTGGAAAGAAGCTACTCCCTGCTATAGCTGAAGTACCCCCAAACCACTTGGGTGGTGGCTCTAGGTAAGTATGGTCCTCACACTTGTCTCCTCCCCAACAGAAATAACTAATACACAAAAAATGATCTGTATGATCTAACCAAACATTCTCTATTAATGCTATTTAATTTTCTCATAGCTTAGGCCCTTGTTAACAATAATTTCTAAGATTTTTGTTGAATGCTAACTACATACTATTGCTTGCTAATATTAAAAAAGAACAACCTCTTAAACCACAGTTTAAAGAAACAACCAGCCCCTTAAGGATGAATCTTGCCGAGCCTCTCTGATGTCAGGAACTACTTAATCTTCATTCATTTATGCAAAAGGTATTTATGAAGTATTTACTATGACCAGCAAAAGTACATGAATCACAAGCTGTCCTCAGGTCGCTCATAACGTAGCAAAGTTGCAGGTTCTGATTCCTGTCGTTAAGCTGGGCCGAATGCCTTCTTCTGGTGGAAGTTACCCCTGCCAGCTCTAATCCCTGCATGGGAAGCATGTGCCACCTTGAGTAGATGTTCCACCTGACTAGTCGCCTCTGCCCTTTCCAGACTGCAAGCAGAAGCTGTGCATTCAGTACCCCAGAGCTACTTTATCAGCAACTATCTTACGGGTATCTCTTCCATTTCCTTAGCTCTAGGAGTTCATTTATGTCTCTTCTCTAGTTAGGACAGTGATTCCCTCATGAGAATCCTCGGTGATTCTCCTTCCTAAATAAGCATCAGTGTTCACCAGGGCCCCCCTTGCCAAGCCCACTCACATCTGCTAGGGTAAGGATTCTTTGACATCATATGGGGAAAGCTGCACTTTCAGATCAATACAAACATTCATTGAGCACTTAGCAGTGCCATTAGAGCGACGATTTAGAGTGCCAGCTGCCAGGGGAACCTCACAGTAGGGCGGTAATGCCACAGGACCACCCAGCCCGAGTCTGTCTAGTGTCACACAAATGGCATCTGACTTTGGCCAGAATTCTTCAGCATCTGAGCACAAACTCACCAGACACTGGCATTAAACCAGACCTCCATTTTAACAGTTCAAGTCTGGTCATCTGTTCTGTCCCCTGAGTCTGACTTCTGCCTGCAGCCTTCCCTGACACGTTTCACCAAATTGCTGATTGTCTGCTCATCACTAACTGCACCAGACATATTTGGTCCTCAACCCTTCCTTGCTCTGGAGGTTGACTGCTGGATTTCACTCAGTGGTCATATGGCTCCAAGCAGTGACCTAGCTTCTCTGCTTCAATCCCCTCACCTCTAAAATAAAGACAGAACTAATACCAAATCTGTAAAGTGCTGTGATCATTAAATGAAATAACGAATGTAAATACTACCCATCCATCGATGACTCCAAAACCTCCAGCTCCTTTGCCTCCAGATGCCTGTTGCCCACTGGACATGGCCATCTGAATGTGGAATAGACATCATAAAGTTAACACACCCAAACTGAACTCTTGGTTCACTCACCCACTCACCCACCCCAACTGGCTCTTTCTAGTTGTCTCTGCTCAGTAAAGAGGAGCTCCATTTTGCTGGTTGATCTTACTTCAGGTCAAAACTTTTGGCATCAGACTTGCCTCCCCTTTTTCTCATATCTCATAGCCCATCTGTCAGTAAATCTTACTTCTGCTCTTCAAAATCATTCCTAGCATGTGCCCACCACTTACCTCCCTGCCTCAGGCATCTCAGTGTTATTGGTGCTTTTGCTCACCTGTTCCTCAGTACTTAAGGTCTCCGTTTGCCTTGGAGATTTCATTTTTTTTAAGATTTTATTTATTTATTCATGACAGACACACAGAGAGAAGCAGAGACACAGGCAGAGGGAGAAGCAGGCTCCTCGTGGGGAGCCTGACACAGGACTCAATCCCCAGACCTGGGATCACGCCCCAAGCCAAAGGCAGACACCCAACTCCTGAGCCACCCAAGAGTCCTGCCCTGAAGATTTCTTTACTCCAAAAGTGATATTTGGAGCACATGGGTGGCTCAGTCAGTTAAGCATCTGCCTTTGGCTCAGGTCATGATCCCGAGGTCCTGGAATCAAGTTCCACATCAGGCTTCCCTGCTCAGTGGGGAGTCTGCTTTTCCCTCTCCCTCTGCCGCTCTTCAGTGCCTGCACTCTTTCTCTCAAATAAATTTTAAAAGTCTTAAAAAAATAAAAAGTGGTCTCCAATAAGTTTTTATAACGTGAGAAACTTTATTTAACAATCATCAAAGTGAAGCATGTTTGTTTGTAACAAACTCATCATAAGGTCATCAGGTGTCAGGGGCATAGCCTAGAGCCTCACCACTCTCAAGTGTGGCCCATGGACCAGCAGCCAGGGCATCACTTCAGAGGCTATTGGAAATTCAGAACTTCAAGCCTTTCCAGAACTGCAGAATCAGAATTTGCATACGAATCTTATTAAAGTTCAAGAAGCGGATAAGAGGTCATTTAGTTCAACCCCCTCCGCTCCCCTCCAGTACACACATACACGCACGCACACACACAAACACATACTGTATGGATAAGGAAACTGAGGCATGGAGTAATACTCTCAAAGACACAAGTTGAATATTTGCCATTTCTTCTATGTTAAGAAGCATTTTTAGAGACTAATTCAAAGAAATCTGTTGAAAGAACATAGCAAGCAGTAAACCTCTAGAAGGCTTTGGGGATCTATTAACTATTCCTTTGATCAGCAATAGCTTTCTTTACAATGCACCCTTGGAAGCTAGAGGGATTAATTATGCAGGAGTTTGCTTCAAAACATGTTCCCATGATTGGATTTAATCCCCTGTCCATGCAATTTGGGAAACAACAGAGAGAAAACACCCTGCTTGTGTATCTGGACTCCCACTGGTCTCCCCACAGTCATGGCAAGGAGGGTGCTGGCTTTTCAGAAGCAGTATTTGGCTTCCGGTCACAAGCTGTTCTGCATGACATGTTTCATTTATGTTCTAAAAACTACACAGTGCATACAGGTGTTATTTTTGCCAGACAAGTGTCATGTCAAAATCCTTGAGGAAGATTTCCAAAGGCACCTTGCAAGAGGATGCAGTTCATACCTCTTTCTTAATAAGCTGCATGCAGTCTGTTTTCTCTCTCATGAAAGATGTTGACCAGGTCTGACTGTTTCTGGTTGTTGTTTTCAACACTATTTGTGGATGCATCAGAAATACAAAGGGGAGAGTTGTTGGTCTTCACCTTTCACCAGAAACTCCACTTGATGTGATGAGGAAAGGGAAAAGTAAAATCTGTTCTGCCTATTTCAGCTCAAAATGCCAAATAATGGACATTATTGGCTGCCTTCAATAATTGCATTTCAGTATGAAACTATGTGACTATAACTTTCCTGGAAGAGAAGCAGAGGGAAGAGAACATAAGTCAGACAAATCCTTAGAAATATTCTTCAAAAAGAACTGGGTTAATCAATCCACTGGAGGATATTACAAAGCCCAATGATATGTTACTTTTCACTGAAGCAAAGAAATTTTGCCCAGAAAGGAAAAAAGCAAGCTCAGATATGGAAAATTTATCCTTGCCTTTAACACACACTAGTTTTATATATCAAATTTTGACTTGTCACTCAGAAAATGAAGCAAATATTTTAGTGGCTTCTTTGGCAGGTACCCAGAAATCTGCATGTCTATATCTGGAGCAGGTAAAAGTTTGTTGAAAAGCATAAAGGACTCTCTTTCCAGCTATGTCGAGGGCTGATATTTAGAGAAATTTTTTTCCACTTAACACGCCTAAAATTCCTGGGAAAAACAATTAAGAAGAAAGTTCCACTTAATGCATGGCTGAGCTGGCAGCAAAATAAGGCAATTTCTTATAGTCTAGAAATGACAATAAAGCATGACTGCAAAGACATAAGCAGGTAAAGGCCATTGTTTAAACATCCCAGCAGCCTCGGATTGAGGAATAATCTGTCCCATGTATGGTCAATAGGAAACAAGACCTGGCAAGCTGGCAGAGTCATAGGTTCAATAAGAGGCCCTTTGGAAAAATGCTGATACCTCAAAAACCACCCTTAGTGGCACTAGGCAAAAAGAATGCCCTGCAGAGGAACTTAGTAAAGAGAAATGGTATATTGGCCTTAAGTGGAGAAGAAAAGAAAGAAATGGAGTAGGAGCAAGAAAGAAGGAAAAAAGGAAGCAAAGGAGGGAAGAAACTCTGCTTACTTGGGGTTAGGGCCTGAATTTATATTACCTCTGTGAACAAAACAAAACAATATAAAATTTTAGCTTAACTTACTTAAAATGGCCTAGTTGGATAAATGCACCAGACATTTGGCAGAAGTAATAAAAATGGCCTCTGGAGGAAGGGACTTGAAACCCAGACCTGAGAAATCTCCACAAATGAACTTTCAAAGGACTTGAGCTAAAAATTGAAATACATCAACTACATGAGAAAATGAGCCACCATGCGTAAGAGTTAGCCAAAGCCACCTTTTTTATGATCAGACTTTAGAGATTGTATATGTTGGAATCATCAAATAAAGATATATATAACTATATAGGTAAATATACTTAAGATATTAAAAAATGGATTAGAACATATAACAAAATAATAAGACACTATCAAAGTTGAACAGGAAAATTTTAAGAAAACAAAACAGAACTTTTAGAAATTTAAAAAAAGAAGAAGAAATTTGATTGTTGGATTTAATAGCATATTGGATATAGCAAAAGAGAGAATTAGTGGCATGGAATATACAGCCAAAGAAATGGCTTACAGTATAGCCAGAAAGACAAAGCAATAGAATCCATGACAATAAAAGAGACACAGAAGATAAGCAGGGAAGTCCAGCATGCATCTAATTGACACAAAGAAAGAATGGGAGAGAGATGGTATTCAAGAAGATAGTGGCTAATATTTTTCAAAATTGATTAAAGACACCATTCCTCAAGTTCAGAAATTTATACCTAGACCCATCTTAGTGAACCTGCAGAATTTCAAAGACAAAAGATAATATTAAACGCAGATTGAAAGACAGATTACCTGCAGAGGAATGAAAATAAGGCAAACTACTCTTTCCTGTAACTGACAATAGTACCAAGTAACAGTAAAACAATACCTTCAGTAATCTGAAAGAAAAGTAACTCTGAGATCTGTAAATGGAGCAAAAGCAAAACTGTCTTTCAAGAATATATATTGACACAAACACTGTGTCTACAGGGCAGTGAAGAAAGACCCACTTAAGAAATTTCGAAATGAGTTCAGAGAGGGAAATGTGACCTCAAGGGAAGGACTGAGAAGCAAGGAATAAAGTACAAAGAAAGAACCAAGTCAATGTTGGCTACATGAAAAGATAATGAAGTTAGCAAAAAGCTGCTAATGAAACATTAACTGAAATACTGGATGTTTAAGAAACATGCATCAAAGATGCTCATATTAATTGGAAGGAAATTAAAGATATTATTTCACTTTAGATTTTGTTAAGTTAAATATACCTCATAACATTTTTAGAATAGCCACCAGAAAATTAAAAATAGATTTAACCTTATAACCTAAAAGGTGGAAGGGGGAGGGGGCACAGAGGTAGAAGAAACAACACAGAAAATTTGAGACAAATAGAAAATATAAAATAAAATGCTAGAGAAGCATCCTAAATTATCAGTAATCAAAATCAACTAGATAAGAGAGCTTTACACACTGTATTAAGATTTTATTTATTTATTCATGAGAAACACAGAAAGAGACATAGGCAGAGGGAGAAGCAGGCTCCCTGTGGGGAGCCCAATGTGGGATTCGATCCCAGGCCTAGGAGATCACATCTTGAGCCGAAGGCAGATGCCCAACCACTGAGCCATCCATGTGCCCCACAAACTGGATTGTTTAAATGACTGCTTTTAACAATCTAAAACATCAGGATATAGAAAGGTTAAAATAAATACATATATTTTAAAAGGCAAAAGAAGGATTGTATAGCTGTATTAATGTATGAAAAATGGACATTAAAATCAAAAAAGCATTACTAGACAAAGCATCATTTCATGATCATGTCCACTTCACCAGAAGATATAAATTCTAGACCTGTGTCTACTTATTATATAACCTCAAAATGACAGGAACTCAAGGAGCAATTGACAGAAGTATTAGGAAAACTGACATTTCCCTTCATAGTGAGAGGTTTTAACATGCCTCTCAAGTCATTGGCAAAGTAGATACATAAAAAGATTCAAGATTTAAAGGATCTGAGGACACATTTGACAATTCTAATCTAATTGACTTAAAAAGGGCACTCCATCTAACAAATGAAGAATTCACATTCTTTTTAAGGACACACAGAACAATTATAAAAATGATTACCTGCTAGACCATAAAGCAAGCTTCATAAATTTTCAGAATTAATATTATATAGAACACAATTTTCTGACTATAATGCAAATAAAATAGAAACTAATCATCACAAGATATAGGAGAACCCATAATTTGGGAAATTAAAATATGTATTCAAAAAAAGCTCATGTGTCAAAAAAGAATTTATAATGAAAATTGGAATATACTTAACTAAGTCATAATGAAAGCACTAAATATCAAAATTTGTGCGATGTAGCTAAATTGTGACTAGGATATTTTGCTTTAAAAGTATTCTAGAAAAAAAAAAGTATTCTAGGAGGGCAGCCCGGGTGGCTCAGCAGTTTAGCGCTGCCTTCAGCCCAGGGTGTGATCCTGGAGACCCAGGATCGAGTCCCACGTCACGCTCCCTGCATGGAACCTGCTTCTCCTTCTGCGTGTGTCTCTGCCTCTGTGTGTGTGTGTGTGTCTCTTATGAATAAATAAACGAAATCTTTTAAAAATAATAAAATAAAAGGATTCTAGGGGCACATGGGTAGCTCAGTGGATTAAGTGTTTAACTTTGGCTCAAGTCATAATCCTGGGGTCTTGGGATCAAGCCCCACATCTGGCTTCCTGCTCAGCAAGGAGTCTCCTTGTCTTTCCTTCTTCCTTTGCCCTTCACTTTGCTTGTGTTAGCTCTCTTTCTCTCTCTCCCTCTCTATCTCTCTCTCAAATAAATAAAATATTTTTAAAGATTTATTTATTCATTCAATAATATATATATTATTTCCTTCTGTAACATTGGAAAACATATCTGCATTATGGACATACTCTTTAAAGAGTCGTCCTGGGTGAAATCAGCAACCAAATTATTTTTAATAAAACAGATATAAAGCACCAAACAGAAAAATATATGACATATCTGTAGTAAAATAGTTACCTTTCTTTATTCTTTTCCCCTCAAATCAAAGTCTTAGAAATAGCCCACAAGAATTGGTTTTTAAATCATTTTTTTTGCAGTGGTCTGCTTTCGTTCATATAGCTAAAAATACATTTGGGGTCACTTCAAATAATTTTTGGCATAGTTCACAAAAGATTATGCTGAGTGAAATGAGTCAGTCGGAGAAAGACAAACATTATATGGTCTCATTCATTTGGGGAATATAAATAATAGTGAAAGGAAATAGAAGGGAAGAGAGAAGAAATGGGTGGGAAATATCAGAAAGGGAGACAGAACATGAAGACTCCTAACTCTGGGAAATGAACTAGGGGTGGTGGAAGGAGAGGAGGGCGGGGGGTGGGGGTGAATGGGTGACGGGCACTGAGGGGGGCACTTGATGGGATGAGCACTGGGTGTTATTCTGTATGTTGGCAAATTGAACACCAATAAAAAATTTATTATTAAAAAATGGTATACATTTTAAACCAGTTGGCTCATGTATATTCAATAAAAAACTAAAATAATATGAAATTACAAAATTATAAAATCAGTTCAAACTGATATGTAGCCTATGAAGTCTCCCTTTTTAGATCCAAGAATTTTCTAGGAACATTCTCTGCATTTGTCCTTCAAATATTCAATATTCTTTTAGAAGTATCCAGTTTTGTAATTATTTGCGCCACGATTTTAGGGAATCACAGAGTATTGTCAGCCTCCACTCAGTTCAAATTAGTAAGGTGAGTAGCTAGATACTGAGGCAGACAAGATCCATAGGATCATTTTCCACTTACCTACAAACCGGAGCTCCTCTAATGACTACATATTTATGCCTAGGCTTCCAAGGAATCATGGAATTTCATGCACAGCCTCTGGAACTATAAACTGTGGAGAATAGATGTTTACTGAGTATCAGTACGTTTATAGAGGCTCTTGTTCTGAAGCATGTTTTCTGCATCACAGCTTTTGAGTTCATTTTAAGGACAGTGGAGATGTCAATGCAGTAACAGAAATAAGTTATAGTCTTCTGTGGTGTGTTTCTCCTCCTTTACTGATATTTCCTAATAATCTGAAAAGAGAACAAAAGAAAGAAAAGAACAGCACTGCGTTATTTTTAAATTCAAGTCATCTAACTGGTAGGTTAATTTAGGCACCAAACTTGGAAACACTTGCCACATTTTCGTTTGAGGCAGATAGATGTGGTGAGAATAAGGCGGTCACATTGATCACTGGGGTGAATGTGGCTGACCGAACTAGCTGAGGGCAGAGCCCCTCCAATACCCATCAGGGACCTTCTACAACTGTGCACATGGACAGTGAAAACTCCTGCCCATTTGGGGAAGCTTTGTTCTTTATTAAAGACCAGAGAGTGGCTGCTTAAATGCAAAAAGAAGAGAATTACATATTTCAAAACAAACTAAATGAGAAACCACTATTTGTTTTCTATTCTTAATAATAGCCCCAGTGCATTGACAATAAGAGATCGAGGAAATATTTTGAAGTTTAAAACTAAGGTTTTAGGGGCGCCTGGGTGGCTCAGTTGGTTGAGGGTCCGATTGAATTTGGACTCAGGTCATGATCTCAAGGTGATGGGATCAAGCCTGACATGGGGCTCTGCACTCAAGAGGGAGTCTGCTTGAGATTTTCTCTTTCCCTCTTCCTCTGCCTCTCCCCCTAAAATAAATAAAGCTTAAAAAAAACTAAAGCTTTAATGTGCAAAATAGAATATGGATATCAAGAAATGAAGCAAGATATTAAAAATGAATAAAAGAATCTGGCATTTAGAAAGGGTAATTCAAAACCAATTAGTCCACACCCACTGTTCCATTAACAAATTATTTGATACATTCAGTAGATGAATGACATTGTTTCAAAGATGAATGAAGAGTGCTGCCAAATAAGGCCAGGTTGTGAACACCCAGTGGCCCAAGTATTCAGGAGGATGAATGCTTGCTGGAGACATGGACATGGGTGTGGGCATGCAGTGGTCCATGATGCCATGTAGGGAAGCAGGGGAAGCATCACGTGGAAGATGCCATGAAAGCTGTGTCACTAAGGATGAGGGAAAGGCTGTGAGAGGAGGAAGGTAGAAGCTGTAGAACAGGGAATTCATAACACCACATCTTCTGATGTGATTCCGAACATGGTGACTGGATTCATAAAGCACCTGCCTTTTCTTGTCTCCTTCAGTGTTTACTTATCCAGAAAATGGCACTGATGATCTCAGCCACCAAGCAAAGAACATAAACCACCAGGTATTTATCACGATGTCAACTGTAAAAAAAAAACTATTTTACCAGAAAAAAATATGGGTTTATTCAGAAATGGCAGAAACTGTCAATGCAGGACAAGTAAGCAACAGCAAAACCATAGGCAATTCTCCCCAGGCAGAGCAGGGAAAGGCTCTTTTGCAGAGGAAGGGGGAAGCTGGGGAGGCTGCTATAAACAAGAAGTCCATGGAGGAAACTGAGAGCTCTAAGTATAGTGGTTTTTCACTGACAGAGCTGAGACTGCCTCTTACTGGCTGAGCTGTTAGCTTTCCCTCCTCCTGCTGGGATAGTAAAAGTAGTGGCTAAAGTAGCATCCATAGCAAGGTCCCTCTCTTTCTGTTGGGTCTAAACTGACCAGGATCGATAGGGCATAAGAGCTCCCCTGCCCATTGTCCTGACTCCGTTTTAGTGAGGTTTCCCTTTATTAATTTTCACGGATGTCACAGAAGACAGACCAGGCAGGGTCCTTAGATCATACTGCAGATCACTACCTGAGTGGGTTATGAAATCGAGTTAGTCGGTCCCAGAACAGAATAGAGTGTAGAAGAGAACAGAAGAGAATAATGTAGCATAATGTTCCATAGTATAGTTGGCATAAAACTGATAGATGTCACCAAACAGAACTATCACAGTGCATCAAAGGTAAAAAGGATAAGTGTTGTGTTGTAGGCTTTTTGTTACCATAGTATATGTTCTACACAAATTGATATAGACTGTAAAGTGTATAGATTATATAATTACTTAGTCTATTATGACCATATTTTATAGTATTGAGTGTATATTTATTATATTTTATGCTCATTTATATATTATACAACTATGTGTGTGTGTGTATCATTAGAATAGGATAGACTAGGACAAATACATAGCATAAGGTACTTGACCTTTGGATAGCAGAATAAATCAAAGTTGTATACAACTTTTATTTATGTCTCAATATGTTTATCATGTTATTATATATTTAAGTATACAATTATATATTACATATGTAATTTCATATACATATATAACATGTTAAACAATGATATGTGTATATGTTACATGTTATGTTGTGTATTATATAATAGTAATACACAATTATATTTTATTTATTATATATTATAAAGTGAAATGTGCTATTTATATAGCACTGACATTTATTTGGATAATAATAGTAGGTAATATTTATATAATACTTACAAGACTCTTGTATAATCTATACATTGGGGACAACAGCTGAGGGCTGTTTTGAGTTTCAAGTATGCTAATACATGTATCATAATGCCCAGCACACACAGTAAGCCATCAAAAATGGTAGCTTTTATTACCATTATTGCAAAGTTTCATGGTCAGGAGATGGCGATTCTTTGGTAGAAGCGAAATCAGTCTGATGTCCAAAACTATGCTTTTTTCACAACATACATGAACTAATTGCCAGCTCAAAATACCTGAGTCCCTTTGATAGGCTAGATACAAAATTTTAGGCTAACTGATAAAAAGTCAATTTTTAGAAGTGGAAGTTCTTCACTACTATTCATATGTCCATATTCCTATAGAGCGAATATTCTCATTCTTGGGGCCAAGCCTGTCACCTTTCTTGAACAACTATAGCAAAGAAAAAAATTGTTTGAAGAAATTTGTAGTTATTTCTAAAAAAGATTTCCACATAATTGGTTTTGGTTTCTAATGAAATCAAGCTTAACTAAGAAAATAGAAAATAAACCTATGGTTGAAACAAATCCTCAAATAATAGATATTTTAAAACTCACGATCTGTACACTAGAATTACATTGCGCTCACTTATTCATCTTCTGTTTCCTCCTTCCTTCTCTGATTTTTCTTTTATTTTCTCTTTCAGGGATCTCTTTCCAAAGAACCATTACAGATGAACACCTATGTTGCCTTGTATAAATTTGTACCACAGGAGAATGAAGATTTGGAAATGAGGTAAAAAGATAAAAAAAGAAAAATTTAAGAAAAAGGAAAGAAAACTTAAAGTCAGTGTTTTTCATGTGAAAAAAAGTTCAATTAGTACTACATCCTAATGCTATAGAGTAGTGATTCTCACCCATGAGCTTGCATCCAGTGACCTGTCAGGCTACTTAGCAGACAGATTACCAGGCCCTATCTCTGCAGTTTCTGATTCTGCAGGCCTGGGGTGGGGCTTGAGAATTTGCATTTCTAATTGGTCAGCAGGTGGCTCTGATACTGCTTATCTGGTACCACACTTTAAGAAGTGCAATTTTAGTGCATCATCAACAGAACTGCCAATGGGTGTTTGCATGAAGCTTGAGCATCAAATGCACTTGGCATCCTGTGAGTCCTAATAGGGAATCAATAAATGTCACTAATGCCCAAATTCATGTGGATTGAAGGATCAAACTAAAACCATTTGTTTATCCTTTGAGAGGCTGGCAATTCCCCCTGCTGCACACCCTGAGCTGTACTTTCATTTCAGGATCCATCCCACTTCATGGTACCTGAAACCCAGGGGAGGATAAGGTGAGCTTTGGGACCCTCGTGCAATCTGAAACTCTCTCCTGGTTGGCAGTTTAGGTTGCTTTTTTTTTTAGGGGTAGTGAAGCTGGAGTCCATGCTGTGTTCACATCCTACCTGTTGTGTGACCTTAAGCAATTTATAGACATTTCATTACTCTGATTTCCTTACTCAAAGAAGAATAACAGTGACCTCTTTAGCCTGAAGTATTTTTGAGGATGAAATGAATAATATTCATAAAGTATATAGCACAGTGCATCATCATCGTAAACCCTCAATAACTGGTAGTTATTAACATTTTCATAATGTGATGTTCACTGGCCTATCTCAAAGAAAATGCTTTACTTCTCATCTCCATTCATGACCCCAAAACATAAGAATTTGGAGTTTTTTTAATCCTAGAGCAGGATAGAAGGGGCTGCTTTTCTAGTCAGATATTCCCTTGGATATAGGTTCTTTGCTCTTCTGAAGAGAACAGAGAACTAAAGTAGTCCTGAAAACTATTGAAATGCCAGAGCATTAGGGATGGATATAGCCTCCATTCCAAGGTCGACTCCACTTGTCTGAATATCATGGAGGCCAAATTACCAGTTGCCAGTCACTACCTTCCCATGGCTTCTGGAAGATGTTGTCTCTCCGCCTGGGAGCTCTTTAGACTTCTCCCCCTCAGGCTGTGCCATTTCCCAGGTACAATCCCCCTCCTATTTGCCTGAGTGTGGTTTTCCACTGCAGTGAAATCTGCCTGTCCTCTTTCTCTTTACCCAAAGGCCCATAAAAAGAAAGAGCTACCAAAAAGTCTCCAATTAGCCCTCCTTTCCCGGGGTTCCGTGTGCCATGAGGTCAAGCCTAGCAGCTCATCTGCCCCTCATCCAGCAAGACTCCATAGCCGAAGTGTATATCCTGCCAGAATCTGGCTCACACCCAAGGTCAGCTTGGTTTCCAGTATTCATTTGCCATCTTCTTCCAAGTGATTCTTGGGCCTTCCCAGAGCAGAGTTCAGGGCCTGAGTCCTGGCACCTGAGATTTGTTCAGACAAGTAGGCTCTTGTAATCTTAGTTTTCTCCATCATTGAGTAACAGTCGCTGTGTTGAACTCACTGGCTGGAGCTGTAAACAGACTCAAACAATCTGGCATCAGTGCAAGCGAAGATGATGGCATTTACCAAGTGAAGACCTGTTCTATCAGAGTTATAACAAGCCCTACAGGTTAGAGCCTGCCTAGGGGTCACTGCTGGGGGGCTGCCTTGCCTTCAGCTGACTGTCCACAATATACTTTCTGCTGATAAAGACAAGGGTGATATCTATTCACATTGCAATAAATATAGTTTATCGTGCCCTTCTTAAGGCTGTTATCTGGATATCTAGAATTTATACTGTAACAACTTCTGTCAATCCCACCATTTTATACTAGAAGATTATTCTGAAGTCAGCAGATGAAAGAAATAATTCCAGAGAAATATAGGATGTTATTACAGTACTGAGGAATGACGTCTAGCTGCCTGGTGGTGGTCATAAATTTTTGTGCATATTTTAGACAGTTGCAGGTCATTAAAAGTCAAGTTGTCTGGTCACGAATCAAACGTTGACAGTCTGCTCTGAGGAAAACAGGACTATTCATTCCCAGGAGTGAAATGCCTGTATTACATAGACTGCAAGATTGGAGTGATAAATCATACTTTTCTCTTTTTTCATTTTTCTTTCTTTTTTTTTCCAAGAGATTGTATGTTCCTAATTTAAAAAGCTAGGCACTTGATTTATAATGTGTAAAGCCATGCTTTGGGGATTTGGTATAATTCCTTAAATGAACTCGGGCTTTGTGAATTATCCTTTTCTTCTCATACCATAAGGTAGAAAAAAAATCCTTTTAACAAAATATCATTCTTATCCACCTTCATTATCTCCCAGGGGAGCATGCAGGTATTGTCCTCAGAGCAGAGGACAAATGAGGTGAGGGCACAGGAATGTCTGCAGTGTAAGCTTGAGGGCAAAGAAGACCCAACTGGCAAAGCCAACAGCTGTAGCTCAGAGCAGCTGAGTAATTGCTTCACCACTCATCCACTATGTATCTCCTCAGGAACAAGGAAAGTTTTTCCACCAACAACTAACAATCCAGACCTTTCTATTGATCTCCAGATTCACATCCCTACTTGCCTACCCTGGAGGGAAGGCACACAGCAGCGTCACCCTCCCTCCCACAAACATGCTCTTGGGGTGAATAATATCATCTGTGTACCCAGGCTTCAAGCCAGCCACTAGAGGCATCCCTTTACCTTGTGCCCAAAATGTATTTAATATTCAAGTCCTTCTGGTTCTCTTTGCCTGAATCCATCCCCATTTCCATCTCTCCTTGGACTCGTGTAGCAGGCCCTACGTGGTCTCTGTGTTTCCAGTCTTTCTCCCACCTCTCTCTTCCCATCCTTTTTGGGTGGAAAAGTCTCTAATGTGACAGCACAGTGTATTCGGGGGCATCCAAACTTGGGAATCAGATAAAATGGGCTCCTATCCTAACCCCTCTACTTTACAACAATAGAGCATATTGCCTAACTTTCTGACCCTCTGTTTTGTCATCTTGAAAATAGGAATAATAAGGCTCTTAGGGGATCACTGTGATTAAATAAAACAACAATATGTGGTCCCTAGTAGGAGCTTGGTAACATCCATTCCAATCTGTTCTGTTTACTCCAGAAGTGGATACTTCCTTTCCAGGATTAAGAAATGAGAGACAAGGGGTGCGTGGGTGACTCAGTGGGTTAAGTGTCTGCCTTTGGCTCAGGTCATAATCCCAGGGTCCTGGAACAGAGCCCCACATTGGGCTCCCTGCTCAGCAGGAAGTCTGCTTCTCCTGCTCCTGTTCCCCCTGCTTGTGTGCTCACTTGCTCTCGCTGTCAAATAAATAAATAAAATCCGTTTAAAAAGAAAGAAATGAGAGACAGAGGAAGAGAGAAGGAATTTATCAACATGGATTCACTTACTGTTTAAGAATAAAAAATGTGGACATCCTTGATATGGATTTAACTCCCAGCCAGGCCACCTACTAGCTGTATGACCCCCATGAAACCCAAAAATTTACGTAAGCCATCTGAGTCTCTGCTTTTTCATTTATAAAAGAAGATAATCATTATGCCTGCCTCAGGTCTGCTCACAACACTCACATCTTTGCTTAAAAGTCTCCGATGTCCTCTCAAGACAACAGCCTTTACAGACACCTCCAGGACCAGCACAATCTCATCCCTGGAGACCTCTCTGCTTTGTCTTACACTGTTCCCTCCCCTCCACACTGGCTTCTTTCCTTCCTCAGTACAAAGTGAGGTGCACAGTCTATTTTCATACCTTCTGAATTTGCATCTCTTCACAATATGTTTTATTTCCAAGTCTCTGGACCTCACTAACACTACCCTAAGGATATACAGTTGAAAAAATACAGTCAAAGGCTCTCTCTAGCCTTTGAGCACATCCAATGTGACTTTGTCTAATTTATCCAGCCAAAAAGAGGCTGTGAGACCCTGTCCCGCATCTTCTGAGTACATTTGCCAGTTACTGACTTATAGGTATGACATTTTACCACTGATGTGAAAGATGTGGTGCCAGCGTGCATGGGATCCCCTGACTGTCACTGACAATTTGAGGTCTGATAATATTAAAGAGCACCCCATTCCTCCATATGAGTGAAATGAGCTTGTATAGTAGATAAACTTCTGAAATTAGAGTCTTAAACAATTTCCACAAATAACCCTTATTATCGAATTTTTTAAGAGCTTTGAAAATTACACTTTATGGATGGCCAGCTTAATACATGAATAAACCTTTTTAAAATGCTACGTGAAATACAAATGGAGAACCCCATTATAATCAACACTGGCATTGTTATCATATACGCTGCCTCATGAGTACACGTAGGCTGTATGCCCAATCACCCTTCTAGCCTCGTGGGTGAGTATAGTGTGTGATACACTTACATATGCACATACACTCCCACACACTTGCAGTCAGATATACACACAAAGTCACATTCATATGCCCATGCACACTCAAATACACATTCATTCTCATGCACTCATACACACACAACACACACATAGTTAGCAAGAGCTTAATAGCACATGCTTAGCTTTTTGCCTTCCACATTTACAATGTAACCAGTCCCATTATCCTTGCTGATTTTGGGTTCAGAAGTCTGCAAAACCGTGTTAGAGCTATTGCTTATTATTCACACCAACACACATTTTAACAATCATTAAGAAGAGGACTTAGTGGGTTGAGGGTGGGTGACTCAGTGGGTTGAGTGCCGGACTCTTGGTTTTGACTCAGGTCATGATTTTAGGGTGTGGGATCAACAGTATAGGGCTTTGCATTCAGTGAGAAATCTGTTGTCCCTCTCCCTCCTGCTCTGTCTACAAACACACACACACACAAACGTGCTTTCTTTCTCAAATAAAATATTTTTTAAAAATA